ATAATTCAGTAAACACTGGAACCAGCAAAGCCTGGGATGCAATTCGGTCTGCTTCATCTAAGTATGGACAGATGGGTTAATACCTCCTCGCTAGGGCCCTATAAAAAGCTGGCAGTCCAGTGTTTAAAATTAATGTTGTTAACTTTTTTAACTTTTGTAAGCTAGTTGACTAACTGAGAATGATAACCAATTCCAGGAGGTTATTGCAGTCCTAACATCTAGATCTCGGTGGGATGAATCATTCTTGGAGATACCTCTCTTTCACCATTAGCTGTAGAAGTAGCCTAGATGACAGGTTGAGATGCAATTTCTACCTTTGAGATGGCTAACATCAGCAGTGGAATTTTACACATAAATTTTCCAGATTCAGACATGTAAGCTTGACAGGCTACCTACGGAGGGCCTTCAGTGTTCTCTCTCTTCATCCATCTTTTGTATAGATAATGATTAGGGCGTGGTTTGGGGCATGATTTTGTTGGGACCATAGGTGTAAATTAGGTGTCTAAATAGCTGGGCTGGCTCCGTGGATCTGTGTTATGTAGTTGGTTGAATTCCCAGCTGAATCATTCTCAGATGAAGGAACCCTCTGGTAAAAAGAAGCTTAGACTGTGGTCCAGCTGCAGCATTCATGTCTTTCTGTTCCTGACCTCTCCTCAATAATATAGATTCTCTGATAACAAATAAAGATTGAGTCTTTCTCTCGGTAGAAGCACGTACAGGATCTTCTTCCTATGCAGATTTCTTTTTATTACATGCATAGGGTCTTTAGGTCAGCATGAACCTTACTCCTCTGTCAAACTCGGTTGAAATTGGCTAAAAGATTCAAAAGTTACTGGGCAAGTACAGTGTCATTAGCCCTCTCCCCTTAGGGAACAGACCTAAATGATGTCATCTTAGCTGAGGCTGACTGACCTCAGTTAATTCATGTTAAAAGACTAGTGCAGACACACCTATCTTTAATAAGAAATAATAGCTTGTGTTAAACCTAGACTGAAGTTTTGTCTTCGCTGCTCTTTTAGCCCAAATGGCATTGTATTTTTGGCAGTTTAGATGGATCTCTAGTCATGTTCCTTAACGAAATGATTTGTTTACTCTTTGATCTTCAGCTTCAGTGGGCTGAACTTCAATGATTAGGACCCATGATCTGAAACATCTCCTTTTCTACAGCCACCTAATTTTTAAAACGTTGTAGATCAGAATGTTTTCAAATCCGCACAATACTGTCATAACTGAGTTTGTACGATTAATTATTTTAATACAGTGATTGTTACCTTTCAGAATCAAATGTAAGGTTATTATAACAAGTAAGCATATAGGCATCTAGATGTCCTTGCTCAGTCTTATTGATTGTTCTGACTTTGCAAAACAATGTCATCGTTCAGTTCCAGATTGTGGAGTTTTTTCTCCTTGTTGTTAGCTAGATAAATAAAGGTGCTAGCAGGGTAAAGATGGGCATCCGTCCTTGTTGAAGAATATTAACCAAATCAATTTTTTCATAAAAAGAAAATCAATTGATGCATTAGCCAGAAAGAAAATAAAACATTATGCTGTTTTAGCTCCCAGGAGCCTGAATAGTCAACTCTAACTTTCAGAAATAGAGAGATAAAGTTCAGATCTAAATCCGGATCGGAACTTCTCCAGGGCACATGGGGACTCTGACTCATTTCTAAACTAGATGTGCGTTTAAAGGGCGGTCATGTAAAAATTGACCCTCCTGCCAGAGCTTTGGTGAATATGGACACATCTGACACTTTGAATCCCAGTTTGTCCTCCAAAAGCAATAAGGTGGGGTGATGACAGAGGAGGTTACATTTCTGAATTCATCTCCTGATGAATTTTCAGCCGTTGCTGAAAATAGGATGTTGCTGTAAACATAGGAGAAGCAGGATGTTTTCTTCCACAAGACCTAACACATGCTCTATAGGCTTTCGATGGTGAAATGGGAGTCAATTTTTGTATGATATATATTAGACTTGCAAGCTTGTGTGCAGATAGAAACATTATTTTAAATGGGAAACATTGTGCAGTAGCTGTTGTCAGGATCTCTGAAGAGTTAATTCTGGTTCTGCCGCTGACTTGATGTGTGGTATTTAGTAAACCATCAGACCTTTAAGCTAAGTATTTTAATAGGATTTAGTTACAAAATGAAGTGGAAGTGTACTAAAGTGTTGTGGAACTTTGCATCTGAATCTGAACTTCCAGACTGAGGCTATTTTATAGTAAATATCTTCTTCTACCTCCTTGGGCTGCTGTGAAGAATAATTAATGTTTGCGTACTGCTTTGAACATGAAGACTGTAATGACAGTACTAAGTTTTAATGTTAAAACTATTAAATATTGGGATTCTGTAATAGTCTCCTTCCATTTCATAGAATCATAAGGTTTTATGATATGTTTAAAAATAAAATTGCTGTGAGGAAGGGCTGCCATTTAAATTTAAGATCAAATACTTCAAAAAGGATTATATGATATGCCTGAGAGTTCCCCCCTGAGCTGCTTCTCCCCGCGTGCCCTCCTCCATATGCAGGCTGGTTTTCTACAGTACAGATGAACCCATGTTTGTCTGTAACTAGAAAGTCTTGTGCAGGCAGCTGGTGCACTCCGCCCCAGCCTGCGTGGAGAGGATTTAGAGATATCACCGAGCCCATCTCTTGCATAATATGGGTATGTACTTGCATCAGAGCATACATAAAATACTTCAGTATTATGCCGTGAAAAACTTAAGGAATACTATGGGTATGTACTTGCATCAGAGCATACACAAAATACTTCAGTATTATGCTGTGAAAAACTTAAGGAATATGACAAGCGCTAATGGTGGAGGCTATGAGACATACCTTATAGGCAGGTTGTTCCTTGATTTTCCTCCTCAGGCCTTATGCACATGCATCACTGACGTACCAACTTTGACAAATGTTGGACTTGGTTAACAGCTAGTTTGCTTCAATATGGCATTTGATTTTAATATTGGTGTAAAATACCTAGTCACAGAACCCCACTGGAATGATCAAATAGTGTGTACTTGTTACTGCAAGTCCAGAATGCCATCACCGCTGATTTAACTACTAATGAATTTGGAGACATCTATGTCTGAGCTGATTGTTTGTTTGGACTTCCCTTATATTCATTGTAAAGAAATAGGCACTGCTAGGATGCAATTCATTATGTCCTAATGTAGATCCCTAGATTTGGTTAGATGAATTGCCCCCTGAAAGTGCATTTTTCTCTGACTTGATTATAGAGGGAAACAGAGTAATTAGCTCAGAAGTAGCTGACTACATCTTAGAAGCTTAAAGGCTGGTAAGATGAATCCTACCCTTTTAGTCTTTGTTTTTCGTTCTGGCACATCTCTTTAGATTTACCTTTGATTCGTAACACAGACTTTTTAAGCAAGCAAAATATGCCTTTTTTTTTGCTGTTTGGACAGTAACTATTGGTTTTCACTGAAAAATGAAACTTGTGCATCAAGCTGGTCAATTAATATAACTGCTTTAATGAAAAGAAACTAGTAAGACTGTATTTTTCATACTGGATCATAAAGGCAGTATTTCTCAGCATTTTCTATCATCAAAGCTGTGCTTCGTAGTGTTGTTTTCAACCAGAAAATTTCTCAGATACTTGCTTATTAATGAACTTTCCTTTGTACAGCACCTTGTACACGAGGGTCATGGTATATGCCCAGAACACTGGCACTACAGCATTACAAAGAAAAAAGTTGTTCTAATGTATAAATATCAGCCCAGCCTTGCAATATCCAGAGTACAGATTTTGAAGGAGCAATTACCAGGTACTTTTAAGTTGAAAGCTACCGTAATTATCCACTGTTTGAAAAGAGAATGAGAATACCTAATCATGTAGCACTTTGTGAAGGTTTAGCCATTTGCTGTAGAATCTGGGCATATGTTTGTAATACATGGGTTGAAACAGTGTTGTGCCCATCCGAAGGAAGGAGTAAGGTGTTCCCATGACCATCACTTGTGGCTGAATGAAAACATAAAGAATGAGAGTGGTAGAGTATTCATATAAATGTCCTTGTTATTGTCATATTTTTTGAATGCAGAGTCTTTTCTGTTCTTTCTGTACAAGGAGGAGACATACGCAGTTGTAATGTTGTGTAGAAGTTCCACATGCATGGTGTCGAATGGCCACATTTGTGTAATGCAGGTTATTGTAGTACTTCTGAGTAAATCAAGTAGGGACGGTAAAGAGTCCAAGGTACCAAATATTCCTTCTAGGTGTTCTGGTATAAATTTGCAGGAACAAGTCAAAGGAGCTGCTCTGTACTTGCAGACGTCTAACTGGCAGCAAATTTGGCTGAAGAGTTCCCACACCTGAATCTACATCCCCAGGGTTTGAAGTGGGTGGGAAGCTCCTGCTGACTGGGGTGGGCTTTGGGCCGCACACAGCAACAGCCCCCTGGTTACCCAACGTGTACTCCGCAAGGACTATTCCCTTTAGTTAGTTACACTCTTAAAAAGATACCTTAGAATAAATGGTAAGTATTTAACGAGAAGTAAAGCTAGTCAAATTGATGTTAAATTTGGTTTCTTTGTCTGTAGGGTGGTTTGAGGGAGCTTTTTTGTGTTTAGGAGCAGGCCTGGATCAGGCACCTGCGTTGGGATTCGGTCTTCTGCCGCTTCCCACTTGTTCCCTGCCTGCTTTTATCTACTTAGCTGGGAAGCTCCACTGCGTGAGCAACAGCTCTTCTGTGTGTCTGTGCAACGTTTGGTACAATATGAGTTATAACCTAGTGCATTAAGAATAATAAGAATATATTTCCATTTTAGAGCCTAAATTACTAGAAGGCAAAGGTAACAATATAGTACCACTGCGTTTGACTCTCCTGCCTTATCCGTTTTGGATGAGGCTTCAAAGTGAAAATGGAAATGAGCAGCTGATGTGACCAAGATACTAATTTTTCACTCCTTCCCTCCCCCCCAGCACTTAAATGTAGATGTAGCTCAGATGATTGAAACTGTGTGTCTTGTTTTGGCAGGTAGAATGGAAAGAAGTTTGATTCCTCCAGAGACAGAAACAAGCCTTTCAGGTTCAAGATTGGCAGGCAAGAAGTCATTAAAGGATTTGAAGAAGGTGTTACACAGGTACAAAAAAATTATTCTGGCTGAACTTCAAGCTGGCTGAGGGGGGTGTGAGCACAGCAATGTCCAGTGGAATGGTGACAAGACCAAGTGACCAAATCCAGTGTGGGAAACAGAGTGGTTTTCTGAAAGCATGATCCATTCGAGCACAGTATTTCCTGTAGTTCTCCTCCATCCATCCAGGGACATCCCTGACCCATGAGGCTTTCCACATGGTATGCGTGCGGGAGGGGAGAGGTGAAGTCCCCTCCCTGGGTGCCAGTGTGTCACATCAGCCCTGTCCCTTTCCCGTGGGCAGCTCCACAAATAGACACCAGTGGCCTCTAAAATGTTCCAGGTGGCAGCGTTTTATGGAATGGCCTCTATTTAGCTACTCCATAAAAGTCGAAGCTGCCGTTTTTGATGACGTCCATGACCGAGTTACAGATTTCGGCCCTTACTGAATAAGGTACCAAACTGCACTGTTAAATTTTTATGACGTCAGGCTCCCAGCTACAAAACTTAACATTCACTGACCAACCCTACGCTGAGAAGAAGGAAACCGCTCTCCGTTAATTACAGTTTGAGTGCCAACACAGTAAAACCCTAAAAGAGCCACACAATGCAATTCATTGCCAGCTCTTGCTTTTTTGTCTGCAGTGTTGTGAGGGCCCACTAAGTGAGGAGTGTAATCAGGCTGCTCAAGTGCAAGAGTGAATGAGATCAAGGTGCAAATTCCTCGTGACTACCCATTTTGGGGTCCTAGAGCTCAGTGTAGGAGGAAACCACTCAAACAGGAACAACTAGTTAACAGGAACAACTTCTTATGCTTTAATAGAGAGAAGGGAGGAATGCAAAATGAGAAACAATCCACTGAGGAATGATGCAACCATGCTTTTCCAGAGAGGGATGGAAGAGAAAGTGATGTCTAGCTCTATGGAGAAAACAATGCAAGCATTCCCTTCTCTCCAGCCAGAGAAGCAAGTCCATTTGAGGAATCCTAGACCCTCTGAAACATACCCACCTTCCTCTCAAGGATTTGCGTTGGAGTAAGGCCTAAGAGCAGCTCAGGACGGCAGTGTGCTGTAGAAACCAGAAGCCAGTGCAGATAAAGCAGTGGCAACAAGTGCTGGGTGAATCAGTTTAGCCCTTCCTTGACTGCTTTCGCTCCCTGTCTCCTGTCCCTTAATTAATAAGTGGCCAAAAGCCAGTAATCAGTGTGGCAGCACACTGCCCTCCTGCTCCTCCTACTGCATCACTCTCTGAAGTCAAGCTTGTGGCAGTCTCCTTCCACCCCAGGGTTTTGAGGGGTTTGGGGAGTGTGATTGACACAAGGCATTAGGAAAAAGGCAGTTCACTATGTCTAGCACGCAGCTTTGTCAAACCTTGGTTTAATGACTATCAGATGTCAGCAGTGTCTGCATTTCTCTTCTCAACTTCTAACAGTTCAAGGTTGCCCCGTGCCTAAAACCGGTGCATGACGTACCAGCTGTCTGGCTTGGAGGGACCCCTCAGAGCAGCCGACAGCCTTCCCCACGCAAACCCCTGCAGGGCCCAAGGGAGGGCATCGGGTTTTATCCCCTCAGCTGCATGGTATGAATACGCCCTGAGTGTGGGAGAGTTCACATTCACATTTTTCTTCCACCTAAAGTGATCAAAGCTCTAGCTTTGGCATATTTTATAGGACCTGAAAAAAATTCAACAGGCGATATCGTGTAATCTATAGTCCAGTGATGTGTCTGATCTTGGGAGAGAGGTCTGAGTTAAAATCACTGCTTGAAATCAGGGGTTGTCTCTTAGACAATGAATATTCAATCATGAGTGTTATGGTGCATGAATAGCAGTTTGAGAATGCTCCACCCCAAAATACTCTGTTAGAAGAGCAGGAATTGTTGATACCCCAAATCTCAGAGAGCACTGTTACCTTCAGAGCTAGTCTGTCCAGCATTTCTGTCCATCCCAGGCGCAAGGGCTCTGCCGGAATAAGCAGCAACTGAGGAGAGATATCCGCCCTTGGGCTTGGGCAGAGTTTAGGGAAATAAGTACCGCTTTTAAGTAGGAATTGTTTGCTTTGCATCTTCCCAACAGCAGAAAGTTGAGTGCTACAGCATTAGCGTTTGAGCAATGGTTTTGAAGTTGTCCCTGCTGGTGGCTGAAGAAGGAAAAAAGTGTTGCTGAACGCTTTTCAGAAGTTAAACCTAATGGCATTTTGGCACTGATCTCTCACGAATACAAAGCTCTGGTCCTATCTGTTACTGAGAGCCTTTTCCTAACGCCTGCTGACGGTGTTACATGCACCATGCGCTCCACAGAAGGAACTCACACCTCCTGCAGCTGGCTCCAGTGTAGGCAGGATGGACCAAACTATGCATTAAAAAGCCTTTGTGTGACTCCCAGACTGGCTCTGGCAACTTAAATAATAACTGCTGTGAGAAGCCAGAGGAGCCAGGAGACCTACGTCTGAGCTGTCTGTGGCAGCTTCACCTTGAAGCTGAAGGCTGGGTCTGATGGGCCCCAACTCTCCTCAGTTCTGTAAAACTGCCACATAGTTATTCTTTCTTTGTTTTCCTCCTAATACTGGTGTGGTTTTTTTCTTTCTTTTCTCCAACATCCAAAACCCAGATGAGCTTAGGACAAAGAGCCAAGTTGACCTGCACACCGGAGATGGCCTATGGAGCCACAGGCCACCCTGGGGTCATCCCTCCCAATGCTACTCTCCTCTTTGATGTGGAGCTTCTCAGGTTAGAGTGAATCTTCTCGAGGGAGTTGGCTGGAGACATCTGTTAATGACCATCCGTTCTTTCTCGCCTGGCTGGCAGCAGGAGAAATCTTCACTGGAATCCCAATCTTCCCTGCTCAAGCTGTCCTGTCCATAGCGCCTGCCGTTTGGTTTCTTACACCTTTCTTCTCTTTTTTTAACTTTGTGGTGTCCGTATTTGCCTTTTATTAGGAGCTTTGCTTTGGGAAAAATGTGTACTGTTGTAACATTTTCAAGTTGTACATTTTATTTAATTTGCATGTAAGAAGAATTCACAGTGATGACTGAAAATATATATAA